GGATCATGACCTGAGCTGAAGGCAGATGCTTAATCACTGAGCCACCCAGGCACCCCATTAAGTGCTTTTATATGAGTAATCATATTTAATCCTCATAGTGACCTTATGGATTACATTAATATCCCCATTTTATAGATGATAAAACTGGCACTTAAAAAGGTTAAGCAACTTTTTTTTTTTTTTTAAGTAGGCCCCATGCCCAACGTGGGGCCTGAACTCATGACCCTGAGATCTAGTCGCCAGCCAGGCGCCCTAAGAAGGTTAAATAACTTGCTTAGGACATGGGATAGAGCTGGGATTCAAACTGAGATGTCTCTTTGTTTCCTGATTATGTTTTTTATTAGATGCCTCATAATAAAGATCCTGTAAAATCTGTTCTTAAGACTTATATCAAAACTCCAAGTTCATTCTAGCCATTTGACTTGTAAGGAGTTTCCCCAAGAAAATAATGCAAGACAGGCGCAATATTTAACAAACATTGCTTTGATGACAAAAACCGAAAACAACCCAATTAATGTAATGATGTGAGTATTATCTGTTTCCTTTTATAATTCATATAGATGACTTTTACTAATAGTGGTTAAAATACTACTAGAAAAACAGTAACTCCAAGTCAAGAATCTTACATGTTAAAATATCTAGTGAAATCAGTAGAGGTAAGCTTTATTTTGATAAATTCTACGTTATGTATGTATTTGTTGAGCTCTTTCTGTCCACCATTCCTTCCATCCATCTATCCAAAACTTATCTGCAGAAAGGGTCAGGAATAAGATCCAGGGATAGCCCAGAGCATTTTGTCTATGTCCTTGGGCAGGTGGGTGGAAAGGCACTTATTATACAGACAGATGTGAAGTCTTGTTACCTTTTGCTTGGTGCAGCTTGGCAAGGTTGGGATAATCTGGACTGGAAATCAGAGGTGCTAAGAGTAAGGTCCTGCTATACATACTTAGGGACTTCTGAACACCCTCCCTTTACAAACAAGTACCACAAATATAAAAGAGCACTTAGATGTTTTCAAGTTTTCCTCCTTTTCCCATTCCTCTTGCTTTTATACATTAAGGTAAGTACATATTTTTCCTAACTCTATTAAGTGCAGGATTGTGTGGTTCTTATAATATCTTTCATTTTCCCATGTTTAGGTAGGAAAATCTAGACTAGATGACACATCCTTACAAGGGAGGAGAAATGCTACCAGTAGTACAAAGATGCTAATATTGACTTTTTGGAAGGTTCTTCGACAAAACATCTGCTCCCCAACCTACGATGCCAAATGCAGTAATAAGCAAAGACTAGTTAGCTAGCAAAGTGAATGGGTGTGTTGCAATGTGTGTGTGTGTACCCATATATTTTTAGGAGGCTCTATTTTGTCTCCTGTGTCTGTGTAGTAATGAGAAGGTGTTCAGATCTGTGCTAATTTTCTATACCACGCATAAAGCCATGTGGGTAAAGTTAATGGCTTGTTTTTCAGCTCCACACCAACTGTCTTAATATATGCTCCATACCGACTATTTTCATGTATATAAAGTTACATCGATACACATTTTTATTTTACTGGATAGACTAATAATAGGGGGTACTATTTGTTGAAGAAGATAACATATGACAGCACATATGCACACACATGCAATCCGCAGGGAACTGGCTTACATCACCAACCATCACTGCCAGTATTCAGAATACGCAGAGACTGGTGCTGGTGTAAGTCCCTAGGAACAGCAGGGGTGTGTTGGAATATCTTTGTGAAGCTGACTGAGAAGTCGCATAAAGATGTTCTTTCTCTATTCTTGTGGTACGTTAAAAACTCAATTACCTTAAAAATCTGTACTTCTACGACTTCAATCTATGAAAATAAACACTTACCCTTGAACGATTTAGTGTCTTTCCTTAAATGTCTTCATAAATAATTCCTAGTTAACTATTATTATTCTTGCTAACATGATTCGGCTAAGAATCTTATGAGTCCTAAGAGAGCCTATTTCCTAAGATGACCACAGACCAATGGAATTAGTTGACTTGTAATTTAAATCTTTAGTAGCCTACGGGGGGCGGGGGGGGTGTGTGGGTACACGTGCGCATGTGCATCTGAATGGCACATACACATAAAACTGGAAACATGAGAATTAAAAGTAACATTTACTTTATCAGAACTCTTGCTTGGTCCTGAGCTGGTTTTTCCTCTTCTTGCCCATGAAGAATTAATTCTGCTACTTTGTGAAGCTGCTCGATACAGCGTGCTGTTACTTCTGCCAGACTTTCGATGGACAGCATATATACTTCCTGAAACAGATAAATGCAAGTAAGACAATTATTAACTGAGCAGAAACTTTTTAAAAAACCCTGTGATGTGGGGCGCCTGGCTGGCTCAGTCCATAGAAGCATGTGACTCTTGATCTCGGAGTCGTGCGTTGGGGACAGAGTTTACTTAACAACAGCCACCACCACCCTGTAATGTCAAAAAAAATTATATAATTCTTTAAAAAAATGGCCTGAAAAGTTTACCCAAAGATTAATGGGCATATCTGAGGCTCTTCTAAGTAGAAATGCTGCCATAAAAAGGAAGTGTTGCCAGGTGCCCAGGGACATGGCAAGCCTTACAGCTGTGTCCCTAGTTCTCAGAGCGATTCTGGGCACACACCAGGCAGGGGCTCAAAAATGCTTGTGGAAGGGCAACTGAATAAATAAACCCCAATGGCCATTTCTCTTTACAGTGACTAAGTTTAAAAAGTTACTTTCTTGGGGCGTCTGGGTGGCTCAGCCGGTTTAGCAACCAACTCTTGGTTTCGGATCAGGTCATGATCTTGCAGTTGTGGGATCGAGCCCCTCATCGGACTCTGCGCTCAGTGCGGAGTCTGCTTCAGATTCTCTCTCCCTCCCCCTCCCATCACTCTCTTTCCCTCACAAATAAATAAAATCTTAAAGGAAAAAAAGAGTTACTTTCTCTAAAATGATAATTCAACGTAAAAAATGAAGTTATGGCAAACTCATTTTTGAACACAGGCAGGCTATAAATTATGCACACATAAATTTATTAAACTACAGAATAAAAACTGTGGCCGTGAAATTTTTTTTGGAAAAAAGCTTCAATTACCTCATTAGTTTATGGGGCATAAAGACATTTTATAGTTACAAATTTGCATATCAGATGGAATTTTATCCTAATGATAAATCAACAGTATTCTCAAAGATCTTTTTTCCTTTAAATTATCATCATAAAGCTCTGGAGAAAAATGACAATATCTCTGCTAAGTCACAAATTGTCCTGGCATTGAAGAATTTTAGTATTTGTCACATTAATCTTCATATTTCTTTTTTTTTTTT